CCGTTTGTCCGTTAGTTTCATATATATATATATATATATATATATATATATATATATATATATATATATATATATATATATATATATATATATATATATATAATATATATATATATATATATATATATATATATATATATATATATATATATATATAAATATATATATATATATATAAATATAAATATAAATATATATATATATATATATATATATATATATATATATATATATATATATATATATATATTTATATATATATATATATATATAATTAGGTATTAGATAACAATTGTAGAATGTATATTTTTTGATCAATTTTAACATTTTTTTCAGCACAAGTCGAGGTCCAAGTCTTCTCTGTACGGCTCTAGGCATAACGACCCACTTTTTGTGGCTGTGGATGTTTACATGGACACTGATCTGTAGTTATCAAATGTTCAAAGCCTTCACGTCTAGAACGCCAAGTTTTCCCCAGACACCAAGGGAGATGAACATACATTTTATTAAACAATGTGTTACTTCCCTTTTGTTCCCTGCCGCTGTCTGTGTGACGGTAGTTGTAACAAGTTTTGTGTCATCGAGCGGAAAAACAACAGGATATGGTGAAAGTTATTGTTACTTGGACAATGCTTTTTTTGTGGGTGAGGCGATATTAAAAAATATTTAATTATATTTAAATTAAACTGTAAAAATACTCTTTACTAAATAGAAAGAACATTGGCGTTTATGATTATATAGGTCTGTAAGAAAATGCAGTTTAGTTAAAATTATAAATATCACACAGACCTTTCATTTTTCCTAAGTATTAAACTTTAAAAAATTTATATATATATATATATATATATATATATATATATATATATATATATATATATATATATATATATATTCAAGTTTTCAAAAGCAGTATTGATTACTCTATAAAATTAATATATGCATTGTCAAAACTAATCTTCTTCTATTCAAACCACAGAAGCATCAATGATCGCACCCTTGGTTGTGATTGTCACACTGGATCTTATTTTCCTGATCACAAGCATCTTTAAAATCCAATCAGTCCTTAATCGTCGCTTGTCTGACCAGCCGAACACTGACCTGACCAAATACGTTTACATGTACACCTTGCTGTTCACGATCACCGGCGGTGTGTGGACGACTGATTACAGCGCTAAAGCTTTAGATGCCATTTGGATGAGGTGATATTTATTTTATTTATGCTACAAGAATTTAGATTTAATATTTTAATTGATAGGGGCAGAGTTTCTCCCAGGCATATCTTCGGGGGGGGGGGGGGGGGGGCTCTGCCTCCCCCCGAAGAAAGTCTACCGCCCCCCCCCCCCCCCCGAACAATATGGAATTTATATAGAAAATATATACTTTTAACAGAGTCCGCCCCCCCCCCCTCCCCCGGAAATTTTAGTCCATCCCCCCTGAAAGTTTCCAATGCAACCCCCCCCCCCTCCTCGGAGAAAATTGTCCGGAAGAAACCCTGGATCAGAAACGGCATGTTGGGAATGTAGAGCTTACGAGTGATCAGAAAGTGGTGAGTTCGAATCCCAGGCTCGAATTAGTAGAACGTCACTGAATCCACCCAGCTTACATAAGGCAGGTAAGACGGCTGGACATAATGCTGAGCACACTATGCCCCAAGTATGCAGAGGACATTAAAACAGTTGAGTTCTACTTCATCTGCTCCAGTGGCGTATCCAGGATCTTCTCAAGGGGGGGGTCCAATTTTTACCCGGGGACAAACTTTCGATTTGCACCCCCCCCCCCCCTCAAACTTTTCATTTGCATCTCCCTCAAACTTTTGATTTGCACCCCCCCCCGTCATACTTTATATATATCAATACCGAGGTGTCTATGGGGGGGGGGGTTGTGACGCCCCCTGCCTACGCCACTGATCTGCTCGATTACTCTCTGGAAGGGATGATGAATATGATTTTAATTGATGTAATAATTCATTTTCATTAAAATTAAAATAGTTTCTAATTTTCTGATTTACTAGTTCACATTAGTTTCACCAGCTGTTGATTATCTAAGCCTGTCTAGCCTTAATGAAGTTAATCTGATAGTTACATCTTGTTTTTAAATTTCAGATTTATTTCCATTGTTCTGAACGGCCTACAGGGTGTGCTGATGTTTGTGTTTCTCGTCTGTAACAAGAGAGTACTGGAATTGTACTTGAAAGCTTTTGGCAGGGACGCACGTCCACGAGAATAAAGTATAAACACGATAGACAGATTTAATTTGGCGTCCGTGTTTATATAACAAATGAAAAAGACGTAATTTTTTTAATGTTTCAGGTATTGGCATTTTAAAATACAAGCTACTTGTCTGTCTGGTAGTCAAATATAAAAATAAAGTATAGATGTTTTACGTTATTAGTTTGATAACATTTGATTTAGTTCTGTTTAAGATTAATTATCATAACTATCTTATGGGCACCGTACATTATTTGTACTGATTACAATTTAAGTAAGGAAAAAAGAATCTTTCTATGATTTTGGGTGCGCGGACCTTTGACCACAGGTGCTTTGACCATAGGGGTTTGACCATAGGTCGTTTGACCACAGAGGGGCTTTGACCAAAGGAGCTTTGACCATAGGGGGTTTCACCACATGTGTTTTGTCCATATAGGGGCTTTGATCACAGGTGGTTTGTCCAATACTGACGTTTGATAACAAGCGCTTTGTCCTTAAATGGTAAGGATTAATTTTAAAAGTTGTGTAATTATATTTTAAATTGCGGAAGGATGTATTAGTATGTTAATTCACCTGTCATTTAGTTAACCATACAAGTATTACTTCTTTGACTATACTGTTGGCATGTTTTTAAAATTCTTTTTTATCCTTTATATATGCTTTGTATTTTCAAGTACATCTACATTATTTATTTGTGAAACTTGTTATATGTCGCATTATTTGTGTTCCATTTATATTTTTAAAAAATCTATGAGGTCTAGCACCAGCCTTTATGTGGAGACTAAAATATCGTTCTTGACTATTTTAGTACATGTTAATTTCTATTAATGGACTTTCAGGAAACATGTACAACATTGTAGCAATTGTATCATAAATTTTAATTAAAATAGCAGTTTATAATTTCTATTTTAAAATGTATATATTATGCTCGCCCCCCATGGTCAAAGCCCCGCTGTGGTCAAACCCCCTATGGTCAAACCCCTTATGGTAAAAGCACCTGTGTTCAAAGCACCTAGGACCTGATTTTGTAAATAGAATTTATGCTCAAAATTAGTTGACTGTTTTTTTTTTACATTGTGACTCTAAAAATGTAAGTTTTAATTATGACTGTATGGTAAGAGCCTTTAGTGTTAAATCTGTGGATTTTTATCCATCAGTCGTTTAATATGTGGATTTTGTTTCAATGTTTGCATTTTATTTAATCATACACACGTTGTCTTACGCATTGGAAAATAGTTTTTGAAAAATTACTTTAAGACTATTACACACTTATTCTATTTTGTATATATAGAAAATTAATTAAAATATCAATGATTTTTCTCATCTAAAAATTGTGCTATGCGTATGTTTAAAATATGTAAGTATGTAAGTTCTATCTATTGTTTGTTCCAAATAAATATTGTGTTGCATTTAATAACTACAGAGGTAATCTTTATTTTTTTCACATTTAAAATACAGTATATATAAAAAGCTACACGAATACAGTAAATATAAAAAATCGACACGGTAAACTTGTTTTAAAAATGCCTTACACTTTTAAAATACTATACTTTTAGTATTCCTTGACTGGATAAAAAAGGTTTAGATACAATTTTGTACTGTAAGAAGATACATGCTTAGTCGAAAAATGACGTAAAGTTTTTTTCTCCTATTTTATTTTACCTTCCTTCTCCCCCATCGTCAGACAACGTCATAAAATGTCAGAAGGCACCCTATCTGCTTTAAAAACAAAAGACGTCTCACTTTAGCTTAGTCTTGCTCACACTCGCAGAGTATGTTTTTTTAGAAGGGGTCATCCATAAATAACGTCACGCTTTTTTAACCATGTTTACCTCTCCTCCGTCACACGTTGTCACAAAAAGCCAGACCCCCCCCCCCTAAAATAACGTCATACATCAGCCTACAATCCTCCCCCTCAAAATTGCTGTTCAATTTTTCTAAAACATTGATATTTTTTTTCAAAAAACTCATGTCAGAACTCATGTCAACATAAAGTATTTTGATCAATTACTGTTTCAATTTATTAAAACAGTTTTCTTAAACGCGAAATAAGGGCTAAAACTCATTTTAATAATGCTAAAGTGTGACGTCACACCATCTAAACCACCCCTCCCCCTCACCACACACCGTCACAAAATTACGGACCCCTCCTTCCCCTACGAGTGTGACGTCATTTATGGATGACCCCGAACATCAATCACTGGGGTATATTAATAAATTTCTCTTTCAGTTAACAAGAAGAGTCTTTAAAAACATTTAAAAAAATGTTTTAAACTCTTTTTAAAAAGTGTTTCGTCACTTTTTTCATCCTTAGAGTGTGAACACTTAAGTTTTAGTAATCACAGTAGGAAGCGTTCATCTGTGATATAGAAATGTTCATTTTTATTTAAAATAAACCTCTTATAAAACCAGCAACCTACATAAACGTGATCGTGTGACGAGTGCCTTGTTATCAATAAAACAATGACACGCTTGTGATAACATGTGTCTTTTTGACGTGTGATTGGGTTAAAAATGTCACGTGACTACCTGTTTACTAATACAAAGTCGTCTGTTAGATAAAGGGTGGACATTTTGATCATCCTATACTACGTGTCGACCTAAAAATTAGCCAACCGTTATAAATCATGTATAGACTTTACTGTTGGTATGTGGGATAGGTCGTGTATGATGTGACGTTGGTTTATTTTAAGCACAGTATGTTTGTTATCTCTAGCTGATAAGTGACACTTTCTCACGTAAATATTTTCTCCACATATTTTGGTAAGGATTTCTATAATATACACGTCTTCGATGGAGTTTAAGCAACAGTATATTTTCATTATTACTGCTTTGTTTTTGGTCAACTGTTCAGGTAATTAAACTTTTTTTTTCGTTATTTAAGTTTGTAGAAATTCAATATTTGTTTAACTTTACTATTAACAGAGTAAACTTGTTTTTTTTATGGTGGGAATTAATTTTAATATCTCTCGGTATATAGATATATTGTGTGGTCAGCAAGTCATTACTTCCCTTGACCGAAACATGTTCCATAGCAGATCTGGGTGGCCAGTGGCGTACAGGAGACAACAATACAAAATAAAAAGAAAATCGAAATGTTTGTTTGAAACACAATTCCATAAAAACAATCATAAGCAAATACAGAAATCATAACATGAACTCTTACAAACACTATAAGACAAATCTAGAAAAAATAAAAAGAAAATAGATAACACAATGCAAAGTCTTGAAGGAGTGGATCAATGAAAAATTCATCTGGCTAAACAGGCGCTTGACATATTTAGATTACATCTGAAGACAACTGATATATTTAGAAAAATGCATAGCATGTTATTTAGTAAATTCAACAATAATGTTTTATCAGATTGATTTTAACATGTTATTTCTAGTAAACATTTATTTAATAAATATATAACTTACATGTAACGTTTGTTTTTAAAAAAATCAATATTAGCATTCGCTCTGGGCAATGATCAGGATAATGAAGGCTACTCATTTAACAAAGTAAGTAAGTGGTAATAAATAGGTTTTTTTTTCAAATTTGATTAATTTTTTTAAGGAATATATCAGAACAGAATAATTAGATACTTACTCAAACAACTGAAAAGTTGTATCAGCCTTCTTTACAATTTAAAAAGGGCTGAGGAAACCAAAGCAAAAACCCGCAAGCTTCGATTTTTTATAAGGGGATGTTCTCGATTTACAAATAGATACCCACTCATACATTTAATCAGCTCTGCTATTTGTTATCGTTGAAATAGTATCATAATATAATTACTTTCATTGATTATATTACGATACATTGAAAATGCTCAGTATTAAGTAAAATATACATCATTACTTTTTAAAAATTTATTTTTAAAAATGTACATTCACTTTCACAGAAAGGGGGATCACTGTGCTACGTGTGTGTGGCGGTGATGGAACGCCTCGACTTTTTAATCCAACAAAACTCTTCGCTAGATTTGATCAACTCCACGTTATACAATCTTTGTAACATGACCACAGGCCTTGTCAAAAATGAGGTACCCTAAACATGTTAAAATAGAAATTTAACAAACCCTAGCTTTAAATAAAACTCCAGTATGATATTTAAAACATAAATAAAATAAAAAATTCCAAAATATTTAGAGGTAAGTTTATGAAAATAAAACAACCCAAAAATAGAACTTTTTTACAAAAAGTCTAAACTTTTATTTGTTAATTTTTGAGCTCAGTGCATCAAAGCCATCCCGTGGGTCGAGCAACAGCTCCAGTCGGGGTTTGATCCCCAGGAGGCTTGTATCAAACTCATGTTGTGTAATGCACCACCTAGGGCCTCCAAACCTGAGAATGACGGTATGATTTGTAGCTAAAACTGCATATATATATATATATATATATATATATATATATATATATATATATATATATATATATATATATATATATATATATATACATATTAGTTATGTAGTGTTTTTATGTGTTTTTGTGATCGTATGGTTAAAAATAATTTACATTTATTCAGTTACATATTCCAAATATGTTTCAATGTTATGTTAATTAAATAAACCGGGAGTGATCTCCCCTAAACTTTCTCGAATATTCTTATATAAAACATCAGAGGATGGGAACTCCATTTTAAATACTTAAAGTTTTTAAAATATAATAAAATCTCGTAGAAAAAAGAATTGCACACCAAGTGAACGCCAAAAGAAATGGGCATAATAGTGCGCATTATTATTAGTACTTTATAAATTTACCTACGTTTTTTGAGAAATCGGAAATAGCGTAAATTAGTACTTCCGGTCAACGGAAATTACTAAGAATTTTACAGAAGGTAGAGAATTGCATCTTTTACTTACATGCGAAATAATATTTATCTATCTGAAATAGTACTCAAGTTATAGGCTTTTGAAAACTTCAAAGTAGAAAAAGTACTACTTCCGGTTATCGGGAATCGCTCAAAAGTTGATACGGATCTACGATTTTGATAAAATACTTATATATGAAATTTCATCAACCTAGCTGTAACGGTACTCAAGTTATCGTGTTTACAGACACATAGACACACACACAGACACACACACACACAGACACAGACATACGGACAAGATTGCAAAATTATGTTTTTCCGTATCAGTGAGGTGTAAAACGTCGAGATTTGTAAAAATCTCGATTTTTTTTGCACGATTACAAGACTTTCTCTATACTTCGTATATACGAGAAAGTAATAATTTAAAGGCATCTATTTAAACATTGACGTATTTTTGTAGTTCTACTTATTGATCTATATTTTTGGTATTGATTTTAAAAAAGCGTACAAATTTTGTAAAACGTATCCTATAATTTCCTACATTTTTTTTCTTAGACGATATAAAGCCTGCATCACTAAGTGAACCTATAAGAAAAATGTTACCGTTTAGTGGGAGTGAGAACATTATGCCGAAAAGATCGAGTAAAAAATGCATGGGTGAATTGTGCATCGATCTAGATTGCGACCTGTGTAAACTGATTGTGGCTGACTTAGACAAAGAACTATTCAATGACAAGGTACTTCTTTTTGCTGTATTTATAAAAAAAATGTGTGTGAATGATTAGTAAACATTTATACGGTTATTATGAATCATAGTTCATCTTTATATCATTAAATAAGATGGTTTGGAGTTAATAATTATTCATTGGCGAAACAATTAGTTTCAGATTACCATTCTAATTGATATTTCTAGTTAATTATACATTTGTTTGTTTCCATAAATGCAGGACAATTTATTGGTTGTTTTAGACGAGTTTAAATGTTGTTTTTTTTTTGTCTAATCGCAGGATAAACCATTGGCTTTCATAGACGAGTTGACATGTTTTTTGTCTAATCGCAGGATAAACTATTGGCTGTTATAGACGAGTTTTCATGTTTTTTTGTCTAATCGCAGGATAAACTATTGGCTGTTATAGACGCGTTTTCATATTTTTTGTCTAATCGCAGGATAAACTATTGGCTGTTATAGACGAGTTTTCATGTTTTTTGTCTAATCGCAGGATAAACTATTGGCTTTCATAGACGAGATGTGTCATAAATTACCGCCCCCAGCTGACCAGATGGTTAGTAGTTTAGGTTTAACATTATTTGAGACAACGACAAGATTAAATTTCTCAGGACAAAATATGTCTTGGCGAAATATATCAGGACCAAATTTCTCAGGACAAATTATATCAGTACAAAATGTACCAGAACAAAATATATCAAGGCAAAATATATCACAACAAAATATATCAGGACAAATTATATCAGTACAAAATGTATTAGAACAAAATATATCTAGGCAAAATAGAACAAACTATCTTAGGGCAAAATATCTCAGGACAAAATAAATTAGGACAAAATATCCCAAGGCGAAAAATATTTGGACAAAAATATCAGTATAAATAAAATATTTCAGATCAAATACGCAAGGTAAAAATATAGACAAAATATCACTGGATAGTAGAGTGTAGAAAAAAAAATCATACTCTAAGAAATAAAAAAAATCAATTTTTCCAAAACTTGTGGTATACATTAATGTTTTAATTTAAAGATTCGTACATCCATTTATTGTTGTATTCCTTTACCAGTGCTTGGATTCCATCAACCAGCAGTTCCCCGTCTGGTGGGACGAGATCTTCCAACACATCATCACACCCGACGATGTCTGCAAGTTCTTAAAGCTCTGCTCATGATACGCATGACTGGTTCTGGTACACTGATGGCTTACATCTATCAACAGACGGTTTATAAATATCAACATATGAATAATATATATGACTCACTTATATTAACATTCGGCTGAATATATCAACACATGACTCACACATATCAACATTCGGGCCACATATATCGACAGAGGATTCGAGTATATCAACACACGGCCCATATTTATTAACATTTGGCTCAAATGACAACCGAAGGCTATTACTGACTTCAGCAGATGGCTAAATCCAAGATCGACGAATAGAGGCATCAACAGATGGCTCATACAAGCCTCTGCTGACGGCTCATACAAATGTCAATAGACTTTAAAATTTATTCAATAAGTTCAAATGTAAAATACATAATAAAAAAATACTTGCAATATAAAAGTTGCGATATACGCTCATCTTGATACGAGTAACACAAAGATTAACTATTAAAACTGAACTTTTGCAAAAATATAATAAAACATGTACGTTATAATACAATGTCCACAGTAATAAGAAAACGAGTAAACTTACAGACATGAAAATGTGGTATTTTCGTATTTTCTATCATGTTAAGATTATAATATTAAGAGAATAAAATTTCAATAAAAAACAAGTTTTTAAAAATGATGATATAGGAAACTAAGTAAACAGTACTCGTATTCAGTGGCGTCGTTAAGTTGGGTGTCACCGTGTGCGGCACCTAATGGTGTGTCCCCTCCCCTCCCCACCCCTTCCCACCCCCCCCCCCCACCAACAAAAATTGATGTCTTAGCCAATTTCTCTTATCAAATGAATTAATGATTTACCTGATTGCTGACAATTTTAAAAACTGCTACGTTAGTACACCGTTATCATAATGCTTTAACACGATGTCTGTTTCTTCTGAGGCTAATCGGTTGCAATGAATTAGTCTTATAAGACATGCAGCAACAATATGCTTGCTATTGTGCAAGTTTGTATAACATAAATGACATGAATAATAATAACAATTTTGCTCCAAAATGTAACATATCATATTACTAATGGTACCGATTTTTTTTATTTTTTAAAAAACTATGCAGCTCAATACTTAGCTTAAAACATTCCATTCCACCATTTTTCTCCTTCTACATTGCCTTTTTAGAAGAGCATATCCCATATACAACACCCTTTACTGTTTTTTCGTCCTTTACTACTTTTTTTTCACCATTTTCCCCAAACTTTTTTCAAATAATGTTTTTAAACATTTTTCTAAGAGCCCTCTTTTTCTTGATCTTTGTGGATTGATATGCTTTGTCTAATAATTCTTTAGTAATTTTAATTTTTTTCCTTCCCACGAAAAAAAAAATATAATATCATTCGAAGTAGGAAATGATTGTATACATTTGAAAATGTAAGGGTAGAAGTAGATATTTGGCTTTTAGGAACACTATTTTAAAAGTTCAAACAAAAAAACGAATTGAAGGCATTAATGAAATAAAACCGGATTTTAAAAAAATAATTTAAATAACAAAAAAATTAATTACCTTCGCTTAGATATTAATTTTATAGTGACTTCAAATTTTAATCTCAGCTCACAAAAAAAGAACACTGGGGTAAAGTAGTATTCATCGTTTCAGTGCGAATAAAGATTAACCCCGAATATCTTAAAAATCAATATAATGAAACACCAAAAGAAAAAAAAAATACACGATCGAATGTGAAATGTAATCGCTTAAGTTCGATTTAAAATTTCAATGCATGAGTCTAGTGTTTGCTGAAACATAATCTTCTCTAACTGTTACGCTAATACACATGTGTTTAAAGAACACATCGCAGATCTAGATAAACATCGTTACCAAAAACACTGCTGTTACATTAAGGTAGGTAGTTCACATTGTTTATGTTTTTAATAATAGAATAAGATATTGGATGATAGATTGTGATATTTTTCTGTTTTAAATTTATCGTAAGTAATTGCAATAATACATTTTTTAACCGCAGTTGTTTAATTGTTATATAAGTCATTAAACCAACGTATAAAACTGACATCAAAGAAACTTACTCATGGCAATACTATTGTATCTAATTAAACATACATACACACGCATATATATATATATATATATATATATATATATATATATATATATATATATATATATATATATATATGATGTGAGTGATAACAAATGTTATACTTTGTTTCAGAATGTTTCGTATAAGTAGGTTGATACTTGCAAGAAAAAGAGAAACTTTAAGCTTGCTAGTATTTGTTGCAGTCTATTACTTTGCCTTTTATCGGACTGTGCCCGCATATTTCACGAAAGCTGCTAATTCTACGGATCTTTTTCAATCTGAATTGGACGAAGATGTTTGGGGGAATATTGATCCTATTAAAACTAAAGTGATTGATATGAGAACATCTTTCAACTATAAAAAAGCACCAAGTATGTTGAATGCTTCAGTAAACCTTTTAGAGCCACGCAGTGAATTAGAGGAATTAGATTTACTCTCAAACCTAAGTTCTAAAACAAAAGAGTTTAAAGAGTACCCGGGATATTTTTCAAACTTCACGTACTTTTATCTCAATAGTTCACGTGTGTCGGACATTCCTAGCCAGTATTCGATCCCGGGTACGTCCGTGTGTTCAGGTGATGTTGACCTGTTGGTGATCGTTATCAGTGTGATACAGCACAGTGACTGGAGGCTACTCATACGTCAGACATGGGCGTCACCAATTTACGACAAGTCCTGGAGCCAAAAAGATTTGGTTAAATTGGTCTTTTTCTTCGGGAATGAAGGCTTCACAGATGTAGAGAATCTTGCATTGTTCAACGAATCCAAACTTTATGGGGACATCGTTGTGGCAAGTTTTAAAGACAGCTACGGGAACTTGTCATTAAAGTTAGCCACGGCTTTGACGTGGGCGTCCAAACATTGTCCACATGCTAAATTTGTCGCTAAAGTGGATATGGATGTTTTTCTCCATATAGACGTTCTACTGAAACTTCTACATTCTGTACTTCTTAACTACACCAACTTTATAATTGGATACAAACACACATCACAAAAGCCCGCTGTATTACGAGCAGGAAAATGGGCAGTACCTCGAGATGTGTATCCCTATTCCTACTTCCCAAATTACATTTTCGGTCCATCTTATGTGCTTACAGGCTCCGTCGTTCACAAAATGGCTGCGAGTTTTCCCTTTGTTCACATCGTTCCTAACGAGGACGCGTTCATCACAGGTATCATGGCCGTCAGGTTAAACATCACCAGACTGGGGAACACGGCGTTCGCTTATTTGTTGAGACGATGCACTATATGTGATCTGGTGTTTAGAAAATACCTGGGTGCTTTATACAGGCAGAACATTTTAAAGCAAATTTGGGAAAATTTTACTACTGAAAACTGTTCTTCTGTAGAAATAAATTATCAATATGTATTAAATTGACGTTTAAAATATGTTTTTAGAAATACTTTTTACTACTTTAAAAAAACCTCTTATTCATAGCATTTAAATAGCATTTAGGTAAAATCATGTCTTTAATTTTTTATGTAAATGTATATAATAATAGTGTGTGTGTGTAAATGTATACGTGTTTTTTTCCATTATATTTAAAAAAAATTCGTTTAAAATGTTTTTAAATCTCGGATATATGTTCCTATCAGCCAATATTAAGGGATCAAGGCGTAAATATACACGAATTTGTGTCGAGTTGATTATGTCCAATTTTAGTACATGTGTTTAATTTCCACAGTTAATGTGCAGGTTTTTTTTGTAGGCCCTACAGAAGAGAATGCCAAGACGATTGTGATAGGGTGTATATGTTCTTGTGTTTATGTCAGAATGTGTTCATCTAATTGTATACAGATATTGATGTGCCAGTGTTTATTTTAAACTGTATTAGTCCATATACTTATGTACGTGTGCTGATGTCCATTGTGTATTTGTCGTCCAGGAGCTTATGTCCAGATGTGTATGTCTAGATGTTTCTGTCTAGATGTTTATGTGTACATGTTTCTGTCTAATTTTGTATGTCCAGGTGTTTATGATTAGATGTTAAAAGGCAGTACAACAAAGCATGCTTGGATCATAAAGTGGTGTATATATCATTGTAAAATAAAATGCTTAGATTCACGTATTCACATTTCGATGAAATTTATGATACGAAAATGTTTCTGACGCACGTACATTATATTGATTACTTTAATGAGATTAGATATAAAAAAAATATTGGAGTATTGGATTCAGAACATTTTGGTTAAAAAATACAACACGTTTTGATATTTTTTATAACAATAGGCTTGATGCTGAGGTATTTAAAGATTACTTAAGGCAAGACCTGGAATGTACATTGGTGTTTACAATAATCATATTAATGTTTGATAACCTTGTTCTTGTTGCTGTGTGTGTGAATTTGAGTCATGCTGTTATCATCTATCGCGATGAAGCTAAGTCCTCTGACTCTGAAGATAATCGATTCCACTTTAAAATCGGATTAAACGTTGTAGATATTAAAATTTTAAGCTTCATAGAATATTCAGCAAAATATATGTGATATAATCGGTTTAACTTTTCGATTCAAAAAACCAACATGTGATTGAGCTCAGTTACCCGTTAGTGGTAATAACGGTCATAAATAAAACTATACAATTTCCAAGGGCTGAAAATGTCTTTGAACATTTATATATATATATATATATATATATATATATATATATATATATATATATATATATATATATATATATATATATATATAAACAAAACATATATATAGATACATATATAAATATATAGTTAATGATTGAGTGTGTTTAAATAAACGTAATCAATAATAATTATAGAATGTGAAATTATTGTTATTATAACAGGAAATATTTAATTGTACATCATCACAAGCACACACTCAATAGCAGAAACTTACAATGTCAGCTCGTTTCATCATCGATTCTTTTAATAGTACAACTAAACTTAAAGAGTATTAACTTTTTGTAGACAAGTTATTCTTTAACCCCCCTCCCCCCCTCCTTCCCTTTCCTCACCCTAAAAAAGAATTATCAGGTTTGGTGCTCCAATTTTTGCCTTGAAAGAATCATCTACACATGTCAAAAAGGGGAGTTCACCATGAATAATTATATTGAGATGGAACATGTAACAGTTGTCGTTATTTTTTAGATACCTGAGTGCTATAAATACAAGAAATTTTTTAGAAGGATAATTGAGAAAATATTTCCCCCGGAAACTTTTCGTCTGTACAAACTAAACACTTAAAAGTATTTAAGTATTGATACATATGAATATGTTTTATTGAAATATATGAAAAACATAACTGCATATTTTTATTTGTGCGAAATCTATAATAAAAACAAATACATTATTGTACAGGGATGATTTTTTAAAAACTCTCTATTTCTCGGATTCATGCACACCCACTTATCATAAGGTAGTCGATGTGTCACTGTCCATGTGTTAATTATTCCAAATATGTATGGTCCAGCCTTCATGTCCTGTTGGTTTTGTCCATGTGTTTATTTTTAGTCATTCATCTTCATGATCTAGATCTAGTTCTTTACCTAAACATCACATACCCAACTTTGGATCAAGAAACTTTATAAAATGATTGAAACATGTTTACGTTTACGTAAGATAAGGTGGCTTGTGCGAGTGTTTAATACATGGTCCCAATAAATGCCAAAGATACTGAAAAAGAAGAACTTTACTCCGTCTGTCCCATGTTTCTTGGGATGTGTAACATTTTAACATATTAGTTATACTAAGGCTGTTGGTACAAATGCTGACCATATTATCCCCAGGATACTGAAATATCTACTTTATTCGTTTGTCCCATGTTTCTTGTGATGTGTAACATTTTAACATATTAGTTATACTAAGGCTGCTGGTACAAATGCTCGCCACATTATCCCCAGAATACTAAAAAAGATAAACTTTATTTCTTCTGTCCAGTGTTTCTTAAGCTCTAACGGGGAACAGATTATTTTAACTTAGAGATTAAGGCTGAAGTATTCTCATATCGATAAATGTATAAACGGAAAAGAAAACGATTTGCGGCATATGTTTGGTATTGATCGGTTTTGTGAAGGAGATTATAGTTTAGTACAGTTAGGTTTAAAATAAACTGCAAACAGTCAGAATATTTTATTATAACAATAGTTTGGGTGATGAACAAATGGAATGTCCAAATGCATTTATAAATAAAATATTTATTAGAGAATGTTTTTATTTGTGTGTGGCGGTGGGGATAGACGTGTCACGAAGGTTGAAATTTCGGTGATCTGGAGATAATCGATTCCATTATAAAATACGATTACGTGGTAGATATTGACAATTTAAACTTTTAATCGGTTTAGCTTTTGCTTGAAAGAAAATGTTTTGATGAAACATGTTTAACTTGACACAGTGGCGTAGCGAGGTCGGGTGTCACCCGGTGCGGCACTTAATGGTGTCACCCCCCAGAGGCGTAGTGATAACAAACTTTCACATTTTTGATTTGCACCCCCCCCCCCTCGAACTTTGATTCGCACCCCCCCCCCCCTCCAACTTTCGATTTGCACCCACCCCCTCAAGTTTTTCTCTATATATGTTGCTAATTTTTGCCTTGATGTCACCCCCCTAAATGGTGTCATCCGGCGCGGTCCGCCCCCCCCCCCATCTCGCGCTACGCCTCTGACTTGACACATATCTTAATGCTGAAGATGATGTTTATTGATGTGGTTGATTTACTCTGGAATTCCAATTTACCATCAGTTTATAATTGTTTTAAACCAATTTTTACTATAAATGTTTCAACGTAGATGAGACTAGTCCTGGTCACAATATCCCTTCATACACCGAGAGTCACAGGTGAACTCTACTTCATGTACCCCACGCTGGGTCCGAAAAATATTACATAACAATTTGTTACGAAGTGAGATAAGGACAGAGTCGACACTTGAAGGACAACCTGTACAGACAACTATGATCCAATATTAATTAAGGACAGGACGGAATTGGTTCATGTCATCGTTTATTGTACTGTTTAACTAAATAACGGTCAAGGAAGACCATTTTGACATTTTTAAGTCGACTATATTCACAATGAAAGATGAGTTTTTCTACACACTAAAACGACGTTTAAAACTGATTATACTTTTTTCCATATCAACAAGATTCTAATCTCACCCGCCAGAACCTTACGTACCTCGTCACATTCAATATATTATTAATTATATATATATATATATATATATATATATATATATATATATATATATATATATATATATATATATATATATATATATATATATATATATATATGTGTGTGTGTGTGTGTGTATATATAATATATATAATAATATAAAACATTCCACAACAAACATGCTCTCATACCCATTCAGTACACTACAGTACCATTCAAAACACTATTGACATTGTGGCTGCATACTAAATTGTCAACTTCAACATTCAGATAATGGCGTGCAACGTTTTAATGTATAGATTTCGACCAAAGTTTTAAAATATTTGATACAATGTATGCATTGACAGGATACAAAAACCGACGCAGACGTTTCATACTGAATGCTTAATTGAAGAACAATGAAGTTAAGTAGTTTCTTGCTCTGACATAAGAATGATAAGTAATCTTTTTAAAAAAGGGAGTTAACTGTGACAAATTTATACAGTGTTGCAAGAAATACGCAGTTGCCATTATTTATAACTAACAGTGCGGGGATATAACTGGTTAGAATTCAGTAAAAAAATATAACAAATATAAAAACCTTTATAATTTGTAAGATATGTCTTGAGAAAATAAAGTTTGTATTAAAAAGAACAAGATTTAATTTCTAATTTTGGGTGCATTTCAAAGTTTGTTATTTTAATTTTTTTTATTTAGATATTCTTTCAAGAATGAAGTTGACAATTTATGTAGACTTCGAGTAAAAGTATTTGTGTTAAAACCTGATTGTTAGTTTGTAATTTTTAAAAGACTGTTGTGTGCACCTTCTCTGTAATCAACCGTGACAACATTTCACCTTCTCAGTCGATCTGATCGCGCGATCGCCAGTATCTAATTCTGTTATTCAATATAGTGACTTTTCAAGTGTTCGTTTGCATTTAATCTTGTTGTCTTCTCTTAGATTCGAAACAGTTTAGTTAGATCTGAGTGAAAATTGAATGTCTATTTAGATTTTTTTAAAGTAGATATTCATTCATTACCAACAAAGAAAAAGGTTCTGGAAAATTTAAATCGCTCTTTTTGAAGATGGTTAAAATTGAGTTATAAGATTTGCCACAAACCCACAAACAAACAAATAAACGGACTAAAAAGCTTGTAACAAAACCATTAAAATAATAGTAAAATTCTACTCTAAAATCAGTATGTTATGTGTTTTACCTGATCAAGTATTATGCGAGGTAACAAAAAAAGATGAATTCTACTTCACTTGGCCATCGTTAGT